ATTTCTCTCTGTCAAAACAAATTGTTAAAATAGCTATGTGAGAAAAAACTGAAAAGTAAATACAGTTTGCAATTTGCATATTGCATACTATTATTATACTTATTATACCTACCCAGTCCTATATATCATTGCTGAGATGATGTCTCGTGGCCTCCCTCTACTAGTTTGATGCATCATAACTCCAAAGCGTTGCTATTCAATTTGAATCGCATCAAGCAATAAATACAAAGGGGAAGATAAATATAATTTTATTTAATAAATTCCTAAAATAGAAAAGTTAGTAAAAAATCAGGTACGCGTTAGATATCCAGAGCTCCCATAAAAAATTGTTCAGTATCGCCGACGCGATCAATCTTCTCGTGGGGATAAAGGACCCTCCATTTCACACCAGGTCGGTCGGGACTTTGCTTCTTCTTCATAACCTTTCCCTTTTTCTTAATCTTCGTAAACTTGCTCTTTTTTCTTATGAGATCCAAACATGCATCTGGCACTTTCTCTTCACCCCCCAAAACCAATTTCTGCAACGTAGAATGAATCCTCGACATGCCCGGAACCTGTAAACCCCAAATTCTACAAATATAAATATTACAAACACATTCAATTAATAAAATGTATCAAAACAAGAAGAACTCACATTCTCTCGCCCCGCACAACGTTCCCCTTCTTCATCCCTGGATGAAGATGAAAGGTAACGAAATGCAGTGGCAGGTTTCGGACAAATACGTGAATATATCCGGCGAACAATCGACATTCTGTTGGAAATTTTTTAGGCAAAGATAAAAAACAAATTGTGAGAAACAAGGCAATGTACTGAAGAAAATATACAAATATGTAAAAGAAGAGTTTATTTGAGTGAAAATAGCCAATTTTCTGGGAGTATTACCTACAAAAAGGCTTTACTGTAAATTGAAAACATTATGCTAGATTGCTAGCTGAATTTCATTGTTAATTGGAGCAAGAGACGCCACAGGTATGGAATCAAAACTAATGGTTCAATGGCAAAAACTGTTTTCAAAATTTGCAGGAGTTGCAATTCAGAAGATACATACATAGTTGAAGTTCTTTGAATGATTATATTTATATACAATATCACATGGGGAAGAGTTCAGACTTCAGATTTTCTACGGTTTGCCATTGAACCGTACAAGGGCCACCATTTATATCCAAAAAATAAAAAATATAGCCAGCTTGTTCTCTACTACAAACCTGTTCCAAGATTAAATCATATACAGGTAATCTTCGTAATAGTAGTCTGGTTCGCTAGAATGTCTCATTCCCTTCAGCTCTCTTCCAGCTGCTACTTCCTCAACCTGTAACAAAAGCAATCCAGATAAACAACGGGATTTACATGCATGTAATAACCACAATTGTTTGGTCTGTTAAACAATAAACTCCAGGTAGGTGAAACAAAAACAACAACCCACTACAATCCTAACTCCATTGGAGTCTAGGGATCAAGATGTACGCAATCTTATCTATGTAAAAACAGAGACACTCTTTTGACTTTTCGTTACACCCTAGATGCATTGTTGCATCTACTACCCAAAATTTACAGAAAGTAGAAAGCAATGACATTTTAATGTTCCATTTCCATTTAGTCCATTACGTACCAAGTTAGCCTACATCCAATTAGTTTTGATCAAAACTAATTGAGATTTTCATTAAAACTCCATGCCATAAATTAGGAACATTTGAGATCAGAAAACACATTACACAAGAGACATGAGATGGGATATTGATTTGCAAATTGCATGAGATGGGAAGCAGTTACACAAGAGACATAAAAGGAGCAATTGTAAAGTTTCCGTACACAGAGTGACATTGCAAGGAATTGGGCGAAATTAACTACAATTGCGGGAATGAAGTTCAATGGACACAAAAATAAAA